TATTAGTTCGTATAACTATCCACCCTCCTACTATTGACCGGTCCATCTAACTTTATATTTATCTATTGATTAACGGTTCCTTTTTCATCATAGAGGAGGATTCAGTCAAGAGAGGCTTCAGTTCCTACTATAGGAACTACTATGACGAGATTGCCATGTCTGTCTGTGCCAGCATGCCCATGAGAGGAGGTGGCTATATCTTTCCCGTACGTCGAGCCTGCTCATCGACTAATAAGCAAACCTGCTCCCAGTTGTGCGCAAGCGCAGGAGTGAGAAAGCAGCTGACCGCGGGCTCAAGCAGCTAGTAAGATTTAATTAATGATAATTTTGATTATTATTCCGCCTCCGCCTCCGCTTCCGCCTCCGCCTATGCCTCTCCTATTGGAGGTATAAGCTGGTGGCGTTTGTGGTGTCTCTCCCTCGATTAAAGATTTTCAAGTTTTTTCTTCCGGTTTTCCTACTTTTGCAAAACCCAATAAYTTACATTCCAAACCAATAGATTTCTGTGGGTAAGCCATGACTTAACTCTGATCAGCCCAAAGGGGCCACTTGTTCTCAGAGTTCTGTCTTCAGTTTGAGTGCCTTGTTGACTTAAATCAGCCAGAAGGTAATGTTTCAGGGTTTCATCTGCGAGTTATCCATGCCCTGACTTTGATCAGCCCAGAGGTTGTTTCAGGGTTCGATCTGCGAGTTAGCCATGTCCTGACTTAGATCAGCCCAGAGGTTGTTTCAGGGTTTGATCTGTGACATGGTTATTGTTTTTTAATTATTGATACTATATCGGCAACAAAAACGTCACTTTGTACACGATTATTCTTGTACTAATCCTTCCTTATGTCTTTTTTCATACTCTCCATTTCAACTCAATAATTTTATCACTATCTTGCTTATTCATGTGTTAACCAATTTATCCATTCATTTTCCCAGCATATTCGAGTGCCTCGAGTCTCTTCATATCTACAAGGGTCGTCCCCAACTCGCTGCTAACCCAGGCGGCAACACCGATGTGGGTCGTATAGGACTGATCGTCTATCGGTATCACAGCTGTTCCGGCTCCTCTTGTGGACCGAACTACTGCTGCTGTAGAAAGGGCCACCAATAATCAAGACCCACTCTCCCAAACACTGCAAGATGTAAGGTTTCCTAAGTACGGACCACTTCAGATGAGGTTTAGTTAAACTTTATGCTAATAAAATGAAACAAATAAAATAAAGAGATTAGTTTATGGTGTCTATTTCTCGTGTTAAAGTGATTTTACTTTGCCAGTGAAACAAAGTGCATAAATTACCTTTTCGGCGCTAGCTTGATTGTGTTACGGTCACCAAAAAGTTCGGACATCGTTCTCGGATTTCCATACAAATTCACTGAGTTTAATGAGAAAATTTAGGTAGATTTCTTTAGTTAGCTCTCTTAAGAGCAGTAAAAAAAAGGGTTCAATCAAGCTAGAAAAATGATCATTTACTTGTATTTAGAGAACTAACTCAATATTAACAAAGTAAATAGTTCATTTAAAGTCGGTACATTTGTACGATTTATACCCCGTGGCGGCTAGCGCCGAAAAGGTGAATTAACGAGTAACACTCAAAGGAAAAACAAGGGAATTAAAGCATAACAACTTGAAATTTTGAATTTTGGCTGAAAAGTACCTATTTTAATACCTTTCCATTTTGCTACAATTTAGGCGCAGAACCCAATATTTTGCCATGGTAAACTTTGTATTGGCCACAAATAAATAAAAAAATGGGAACAGGGACTGACACTATGTGAGTAATATAGGTATATCCTTGACTGGAGAAATGAATATTTACAGTCAAAATGCCCCTAATGCCTGATTACAGACCAATTTAGAACAAATCCTCTTATTCAGGTCATAAACGCGTTTTTCAAAAAAAATTCGTTTCAAACGAATTCCTTATTTTTTACGGCACGAAAAAGTTGGAAAAATTTTCGTGTCCACCCACTCTCGAAATTTTAGTACCGGTTCGATGAGCCTGAAAAATTGTATAGACTTATACGTCATCGGGGTGATACACCAATTTTTTTGGGTTGTCAAGAGCGCTGTTTTTAAAAGTTTTAAGAAAGAAAAAAATGCCGAAATATTGGGCTTTTACTTATTGTACGAGTGAATCCAATTTGGAAGAATGCGCAAGTCTTTCACTTTTGGAACGTATCACCCCGATGACGTAATCGCACCAGTCCCCCTTACGCGCGGTCCTTATATGATAAGGCGCGTTTTCAAAACTCATTTAAAAATCAGGAATACATCCAATTTCGAAAAAGTTTTGGATTTTCGCATTTTTATGAATATATCTTAAGCTTACATAAGGTCTGTGATTAGGCATTAGGGGCACYTTAATGGAACGAGGAATAAATTTATATTTAATCAATCCCAGGAAGGTTGGCAGAAGCGAAATGAATATAAAGAATTAGTATTTTTACACAAGTGAATATAATAAATCTTGTGCGCTCATTGGTCACAATTTACGTCTTATGCTGCTGTATTCACCTATATTCCTTTGCATATAACACGCAGAGGCTTGTTTGCTTCTTGCAGAGATAAATAGAATTTGAACAAAAAAAGTCTCTCGCCGTTATCTATTAAATTCACTGGTGCAAAAATACCAAAACAATTATTCACCTCAGGCCTCAGGCGAAGTAAATATCGGGAAATATTTACCTTATCGGTCAAAATCGCATCTCGGTAACTATTTCGAATGCCCGATATTCACTTCGCCTTCGGCGAATAATTGTTAAACGACCGATTATTTTATACAGGACGCCTGGAACAGCAGGAGCTTAAGAAATTTCTAATAATAATAATAAAATTCATTTTTTCATTTCAAGATATTTCTCGTAGAATTAGTCGCCGAAGGTGTAGTTAATATCAGGGAATATTCACCGAGACGGGATACTTCGAGCGGCGCGCAGCGAAGTAAATATTCCCCGATAGTTCGACGTCCTTTGAGCATTAACATGACCAGCTGAAGTTTGTTGTAAAATGTGGTCGTAAGGGTGAGTGTAGTTTTGAGAAAGGCTGTTGTTGGTGGTGACTGACATTTCGACAACTGGACTCTGAAGATGACTTCCGCTCAGGTTGTCGAAACGTCAGTCACCACCAACAACAGTCTTTCTCTAGACTACACTCACCTGGACCATTACACTTCACAACAAACTGTCAGTCACCACCAACAACAGTCTTTCTGTAGACTACACTCACCTGGACCATTACACTTCACAACAAACTGTCAGTCACCACCAACAACAGTCTTTCTGTAGACTACACTCACCCGGACCATTACACTTAACAACAAACTGTCAGTCACCACCAACAACAGTCTTTCTCAAGACTACACTCACTCGTACTCAGTTCACAACAAACTTCAACACCTGGGTTCAAACCATTTACTCTTTGTTTTCAGCTTAAAAGATGAAATTTAAATCTTGAAGTAAAAATAATAATAACTTGCTGGATATGAAATGTTTTACAATACCCTTAGTGGTCTCAGATTTGTAGTTTAGTGATTAAATTTATTGACTGAAATAAGTTTCTACTCTTCGGGTAAATCAGTTTGTTGGTGCATCCATTCGTTATCATATTATTACTGACTATTTCTAAATTTGATGAATGTAACAGTCCATTTCCTTATTCAAAAAAAGAAGTATCGTTAAACTAAATGATATTACTTTTCTATATATATCAATCTAAGTATAAGTATCATTAATCCTGCCATCTGTTTTCTAAAATTTCTTCGCTGAAGCAAAGAGAGTTCATGATTATTTTACCAGATKGTTCTCAAATGTAAGCTTTTCTTTGCCTAAAGCAAGGACAACTATGCTTTGTTCAATATAAGACTTCAAGTAGCAAAAAGTATTGAATTCTCGCGATGACAAAATTAAGCTTCTTTCATTAACATTATTTACGAAAACAATTACCAAGGAGATTATTGACAAATATTAATTAACTATTTCTCTTTATTCTATAATTTTTTTCTTATATTTTTCTTTTTTTTTTTTTGGTTATATCATGTGTGTATATTTTCGTACTTTAACAACTATGTTTCATTGTTGCTGATTTACGACTGTCTGATTTAATTCAGCCCTTATGCATGGTTATTTCAGACATCTAGTACCTAAACCCTTTATTTTCTCTTATCATATATAATRTTTGTACTACATGTCCCATACTTGATTTCTTATTCCAAACTCGTACGCATAGCGTAAGGTAAAGAATTTGTGTATGAAGGGACGAACTGCGAGCACCAACTAACTAAGTATTTGTATAGAGGGCGTATATAAGGCATACAAAAGCTCCTAAGGGACTAGGCTAACAATGACGAAAATACTTAGACTGAAACGAGTGAAACAAAAGCTATAGAGCACTTATATAAACAGATCTAGGACAAAGAAAACTACACTACAAACAAACAGTTGTACCACATGCACCTGATTGCTAGTATTTCCTTTCCCTAATTGTATTATGAAAAACGACTGTCTGATTTAATTCAGCCCTTATGGTTATTTCAGACATCTAGTACCTAAACCCTTTCTTTTCTCTTATCATATATAATTTATAATGGATGGTACAAATAAACAGTTGTACCACATGCACCTGATTGCTAGTATTTCCTTTCCTTAATTGTATTATGCAAAACGACTGTCTGATTTAATTTAGCCCTTATGGTTATTTCAGACATCTA